TTCCCCAAGTACTTGCCAGCGCTTTCAGGCCACGAGATACTTTTTCAGAGCTCGGGAGCTGTGCAGCAACGGTGCTCCATTGAGCTCTCCATGGGGCAACACCGAGGAACTGTCTCACAGTGTTGGTAGCAGTCCCAAAATGAGGGATGAACTGCCAAAAAAAAACAATGTTAATAGCGTACATCCGGGACAATTATGATTAGCGATCTAAAATTGGGTTTCCCTCCCAACTAGATAAATCTAGACACATCCCCCCAAAGAAACCCTGGCGTCACCACCTGAAAACTGGTGTCTCAGATACTCCCAAATGGCCATATCAATGGTGGAAACCAGGAACACCTTTGGTGCTGCAGATGCCACATGGTATCAGGATATAGCATTGAGATCCATTGAGTCAGATTTGGCGTGTCGATTTCAAGTTTCAAGATCTTTTATGTGTCTACCTGTTTGCTGTCTGCCTGGTGGGACCCCCCATAAGTTGGTTTATAAACCACATCAACTATATCTCGAATAAATTTATATAAATCAATGTAAATCCATAGTTCACCTGCTGAACTCAAGAAACTTAACTATCTATGGTCTGATATGGGGCCTTGCACATCTCGGACATATCGGGTGCTCCGGGAGGAGCCTTTGCAAACCCTAGGGGTACCACCTGCACGGGGGCCCAAATGGGAGCGAATGGGTCCGCAAAAAAGAAAGCAAGGTGAAGAATTGTCTAATTTGGATATATGAGTTTCATCAGTTTCATCTATTGTTAAGAGGTTTTGTGGGATCTGGTGGATTTCGATCATTTGGCTTAAACTTAAGATGCTGTTTGTTCCCCTCAATGACACAGTTGGCGTTTGACGCCTGGCTGGAACAGTTTCTTACTTAATTACAAGTGATACAACTCATATTCCAAGGTATTGGCAGGTAGCTTCAAAGTGGACCCACCGTCCCGGTAGGTCTCACAGGCAAGTCTTACTATCGATCGGAGACCTGCCAGACGCACAAATCACAAAGATTGAATAATATATATATATACATATACATACGTGTACATATATATATATACACACGTATGTATATATATATATATCATAATAACATTGTTTTGAGAACTTTAAGAAGAACATCATCTCTGATGTTTCTTGCCCACCTCGAAAAATCATGTTTTGTCACAAGTTGTAATGCTCATCCTCCAACTCTGGCCGTGAGGGCTTTCTAAATCCCATGTTTAAAGGCCAAAGCTGGGGGTTTATTGTCGAAATCCAGACAAACCAGACAAAAAGCTAGTCACTATTTATATTCAATATGCCCATATATATATATACATAGAGATATAACAATCCTGGAGTAGATAGAATCCCGTATCGTAGGGGGCGTTTTTTTTTTTGAAAAAAACCAGGGTTTTTTGACCCAATACTAAACTATATATTCGGACCCCCTAGATAGAATATTCCAAAATCTACTCCAGGATGCTCAAAATGTGTTTTTTTTTTCCTTTCCTTTTCAAAACCTTCCACTTTATTTTTGTCTTTCAAATTTTCCTTTTCAAACAGCTGCAAAAAATGAACTTTGGATGGTAAGATCGTAGACGTAGATTCCTACTTTTTTCATTTCCTTTTCCTTTCACACTTTTCCCTTCAAAAATCTGTAATTGTGAACTTTGGATGGTAAGATCGTGGATTCCAGCTTTTCTCATGCCATGTTCCTTTCAAAGTTTGATTCCTGCTTTTCTCATGTCCTTTTCCTGTCACAATTTTCCATTCAAAAACCTTCAATTATGAACTTTGGATGGTAAGATCGTGCATTCCAATTTGTTTCCTTCCATTTTCCTTCCAAGTTTCCTTTTCAAACAGCTGCGAGAATGAACTTTGGATGGTAAGATCAGCTATTCCTACTTTTCTCATGCACTCTTCCTTTCAAACACAGTTTTCCATTCAAAAACCTTCAATTATGAACTTTGGATGCTCGATCTTGGATTCCTACTTTTCTGTACTTTTCTCATCTCCTTTTCCTTTCACGGCTTTCTATTCCAAAACCTGCAAGACTGAACTTTGAATGGTAAGATCGTGGATTTCTTCTTTTCTCATCCCATTTTCCTTTTGTTGCTTCTTTTCAAAAACCTGCAATTTCAACTTTGGATGGTAAGATCTTGGATTCCAACTTTTTAGATGCCATTTTCCTTTTAAAGTTTGCTTTCAAACAGCTCCAAGAATGAACTTTGGATGGGTAGATGTGGAGGAAGGGGCAGGGAGCACCACGAATACATGCTTAATCCCAAACATCCTTTAAAAATTCAGTCTTTTCATGGTTCTAGAGGATATTCTATCTATAGTTTTGCCCAACTGTCCTAGCACAGTACTAGCACAAATGAACTTTGGATGGTCGATCTTGGGTTCCTACTTTTCTATACTTTTCTCGTCTCCTTTTCTTTTCACAGCTTTCTTTTCAAAAACCTGCAAGACTGAACTTTGAATGGTAAGATCGTGGATTATTTCTTTTCTCAATCCCATTTTTCTTTTGTGTTTTCTTTTCACAACTTCAAAGTTTCCAACTTTTGATGGTAAGATCTTGGATTCTCTTTTTCATGCATTTTTTCCTTTTAACGCTGCTTTCAAGTTCATCAAACAGCTCCAAGAATGAACTTTGGATGGGTAAGATTGTGGAGGCGGGGGCAGAACACCACAAATACATGCTCAACCTCTAAGCTCCAAGGCATCCTTTAAAAATGCATCCTTTTCATGGTTCTAGAAGTATATCCTATCGGTAGTGAGGGGGGTTTTTTAAGCTCCAACTGTCGCTAGCACACATCACTACACAAATGAACTGTATTGGATGGTCTGAGTCGTGTTTGATTCGCTACTTTTCAAAGTCTGGTCTTTTCGTCCGGGCTCCGTTTTCTTTTCACAGCTTTCCTAGTTCAAGGGAAAGGGACCTGCAAGACTGAACTTTGAATGGTAAGATCGTGGATTCCTTCTTTTCTCATCCCATTTTCTTTTTGTTGCTTCTTTTCAAAAACCTGCAATTGCAACTTTGGATGGTAAGATCTTGGATTCCTACTTTTTAGATGCCATTTTCCTTTTAAAGTTTGCTTTCAAACAGCTCCAAGAATGAACTTTGGATGGGTAGATGTGGAGGAAGGGGCAGGGAGCACCGCAAATACATGCTTAATCCCAAACATCCTTTAAAAATTCAGTCTTTTCATGGTTCTAGAGGATATTCTATCTATAGTTTTGCCCAACTGTCCTAGCACAGCACTAGCAAAAATGAACTTTGGACGGTCGATCTTGGATTCCTACTTTTCTATACTTTTCTCATCTCCTTTTCCTTTCACGGCTTTCTATTCAAAAACCTGCAAGACTGAACTTTGAATGGTAAGATCGTGGATTTCTTCTTTTCTGATCCCATTTTCCTTTTGTTGCTTCTTTTCAAAAACCTGCAATTTCAACTTTGGATGGTAAGATCCTGGATTCCTACTTTTTTAATGCCATTTTCCTTTTAAAGCTTGCTTTCAAACAGCTCCAAGAATGAACTTTGGATGGGTAGACGTGGAGGAAGGGGCAGGGAACACCACAAATACATGCTCAACTCCAAGCATCCTTTAAAAATTCAGTCTTTTCATGGTTCTAGGGGATATTCTATCTATAGTTTTGCCCAACTGTCCTAGCACAGCACTAGCAAAAATGAACTTTGGATGGTCGATCTTGGATTCCTACTTTTCTATACTTTTCTCGTCTCCTTTTCTTTTCACAGCTTTCTATTCAAAAACCTGCAAGACTGAACTTTGAATGGTAAGATCGTGGATTATTTCTTTTCTCATCCCATTTTCCTTTTGTGGTTTCTTTTCAAAACCTGCAATTTCAACTTTGGATGGTAAGATCTTGGATTCCTATTTTTTTAATGCCATTTTCCTTTTAAAGTGTGCTTTCAAACAGCTCCAAGA